TACAGTATTTCAGTTAAATAAAAGACTATTAAAATGTTGATATGAAATTAAACATCCATCCAACATGAACTTGTGAAACAAAGCTATCATTTGTCAGATGTTTAACAGTTTCATTACTTGGCTCCTTTTAGTCTTGGTGTATTGCTGGCTAAAATGCCCCAACCTCAATAGTCGTTGTTCATTGTTGGGTGTGTTCCGGAAAACAAAGAAATAATTGATAAAAATTAATTAATTAAAAAGACTAAAAAACAGAAAGTAGATGAAGCAGAATTTAACCAAAGCTCGTGCAACACACGATGTCCTTAAAACGTATTTGTTGCCTCCCGGGTGCTAGGAGCATTGCAACAATGGTTTCCTAGGATACGATGACTATGAACAATAGTTTGAGCACTCAAACAAATTGTTCCGGCGAACGAGAACAAGTATGAATACCAAGGACATTTTCAGGGAGAGCTGGAGGTATTTTTAGCTTAGGAAATTCGTGAGGAATGTATTGTGTGTTGTGTTGATGCAAACCACATGTCAGCATTTATATAGGGAAGATTTGTTGTGCGTTAATTACGTTTGTAATGGACATTACCGTTGGACATCAATGTCCAGGATGTTGGCATTGAATGGTCCGTAACTGTCCATTTAATTGCATGAACGTTGGACATTTATTGGCTTGTAACGGCAGCAGCAGGGTCAAGCAGCCACCTACTGCGCGAGCCGCCTGCTCGGAGAGCAGCCACCTGCCGAGCCGCCTGCTCGGAGAGTTGCCACCTGCTGAGCCGCCTGCTCGAAGGGCAATTCAACGAGTGAACTTCGAGAATCAATTTCTCATTCACCCGTTATCCGTTTTGAGTGTACCGCATATCGAATTGTAGTCCTTAGCAAGGACAATCTGAAACCACTTTGACCCGACCCAAATCGGAAGTGGACCCCACTCAACTAATTGCCCCAAAATGACCATTTAATGCCCCAAATCGGAAGTTGACCCCACTCGAACCTAACATCAACCTGGCTTGGATTGTTATGGGTGATTTTAACTATGTAGGCAGTCCTAGTGAGAGGATTGGCCCACCCCCCCCCCCCCCCCCCCGGCTTACTACATCCAACATCTTAATGATTTCAAAATTCAAGCGAACCTTATTGATCCCCCTTCCACCGGTGAGTTCCTCACTTGGAATAGGGGCTCTTTTTGGGCCAAACTTGATAGAGTTCTTATGAACTCTTGCTGGTCCACTTTTAATATTACTTGTAAAGCTCACTTCTTTGAAATGGAAGTGGAGTTTGACCATTGTGCTGTGCTTGTTACTATTGATTATAATTCTCATGGTGGGTCTAGGCCCTTTAAATTCTTTAACATGTGACTTAAGCATGAGACCTTTACCAATATTCTTACCACAAATTGGTATCATGATATGTATGGCACACCTCAATTCAGGCTGGCCCGAAAGCTTAAAAGGCTTAAAAGACCTCTTAAGGAGCTAAACTTCAATGCTTTTGGTCACATTTCCGATAAGGCTAAGGAGGTCAAAAAGGAGTATAAGAGAACCCATGCTCTTTTGCTTCTTTCTCCTCTTGATGAGTCTATCAAACTTGAGGTTGCCTCTGTCAAGAAAAATGCTATGTACTTTAAAAGGGCTGAAGAAGAGTTCTTTAAGCAAAAGGCTAAAGTCAATCACTTACTCCTAAGTGATCGTAGAACAAAATACTTTTTTTCTATTGTTAAGAAGAATGTGGCTACAAACTCCATTACATCTATTAAGTTAGATAATGGGGAGTCCACCACCTCTTTGAACCATGTTGCTTCTGAACTTGTTAGGTTCTACACCAACCTTTTTGGTACTTCTTGTCCAAATGTGGATATTGACCCTGACATCATTCTCTCTGGCGCTTGTTTGGATAACTCAAAAGCCTCTGGGCTGCTTGTCCCTATTTCTAATGATGAAATTAAGAAGGTCATGTTTGATATTGGAGATAATAAATCTCCTGGACCTGATGGCTATACCTCTGCTTTCTTTAAGCAAAATTGGAATATTGTGGGGCATGATGTCATTCTTGCTGTGAGGGGTTTCTTTAACTCTGGCAAACTCTTAAAGCAACTTAACCATACGGTGATTGCCCTTATTCCTAAGACCTCTCATGAGCCTACAACTGCTGACTTTAGGTCCATTGCCTGCACTAATGTCATCTACAAAACCATTACTAAGATCATTGTTGCTCGTATGATCTCTTGCCTTCCTGAGCTTATTGATCCCTCCCAAGGGGCCTTTGTTGATGGGAGACTTATGCTTGACAATGTCTTCTTGGCCCAAGAGCTCATTAAAGGCTATTCTAGAAAGCACATGTCTCTTAAATCTATGATCAAGGTGGATCTTAGAAAGGCATATGATACCACATACATTCTCGCCTTAGACAAAACTAACTTGTCCAACTCAAAAACCATGCGGAAGCCATGTTTGTTCAACAACGAACCAGAAATCAGGTTTTTGCGTATTTCCGGAACGAACAAAACTTGGTTTAGAGTCAGCTCCTTTCCCGAAGTCATCTTCAGGACCACCTTGCCCACGCCTTTCACCGCGGAATGAGCCAAGTTTCCCATCCACACCTTCTTGCCATTTGATGGCTCAAAGGTTGTGAATAACTCCCGGTTTTAGATAATATGCTGGGTTCCACCGGTGTCCATGAACCACTCCTTGGAATTGGATCCAACGAGGTTGACCTCGGTCACCATGGTCGCAAGAATGATGTCTTCATCCTTTTGCCCACCTTGCATCACGTTGACTTGAGAGTCTTTCTTCTTCCTTGGTGCCTTGCAATCTGAGGACTTGTGACCATTTTTGTTGCAATTGAAGCATTTTCCATTACATTTGGGTTTGGAAACACCTCCCTTGGGACCGAGCTTGCTCTTCCCATTATTTTTATTTTTGGAGCCTTTTGCATGCTCCACCACGTTGGCCTAGGCGCCGCTAACGATCGGGAGTCTCCCATCGTTCTTCCGATTATCCTCTTCAATCGGCATTGAATAGTCCGTAACTGTCCATTTAATTGCATGAACGTTGGGCATTTATTGACTTGTAACGCCAGCAGCAGGGTCGAGCAGCCACCTGTTGCGCGAGTCGTCTGCTCGGAGAGCAGTCACCTGCCGAGCCGCCTGCTCGGAGAGCAGCCACCTGCTGAGCCGCCTGCTCGAAGAGCAGCCACCTGCTATGGGCAATTCAACGAGTGAACTTCGAGAATCAATTTCTCATTCACCCGTTACCAGTTTTGAGTGTACCACATATCGAATTGTAACCCTTAGCAAGGACAATTTGAAACCACTTTGACCCGACCCAAATCGAAAATGGATCCCACTCAAATAATTGCCCCAAAATGACCATTAAATGCACCTTTTAACACATCTTTCCAACACTCATATCCTAGAATGACATTTCATAAACATTTGGATTGTGCACATAAGACTAACCATATAATACCAGTAAAATAAAAGTAACTTATGGACAAATTGTAAAGTTAGAGAAGATAAAACAATACTTATTAACCAAAGAACATAACTAGCAAGTTCAAAACAATCAAAAGGTGTAGGGATAGATGTGCAAGTAATTAGAAAATTTTAAATATACCAGAAAATGAAAAAGTAACATGTTTCAGCAATTATCAAATTTAGCGAAACAATTAAATAAATTATTAACCAACAACGGTCAATTTGGAATAGATTAAAATCAAAATCACAACCACATCAACTTAAACACCTCATCAGTATAAGTATAACAAACATATTATCTCAGGAGTATTTGTATGCAATTTAAGATTCTTTTTAAAGATGTTAAAATACACAACTTCTACACAAATAACTATAACTTTCATATCAGAAGACACAACTTTTACAGAAATGATAGCCGCTATATTTACTTGTGTTTAACATAAGTATTTATAAGTATTTGTTGAAGAAAGGAAGAGAAATCGGGCAAGTACCTTCAAAATGAGAGCTACAACATAAAACATTGTGATGAACATCTTTTTGGACCAAGAGGATGACATTCTGCCCATAATTCGAGTATAACTTATTGTAGAGAACTCAAAATCACTCGATTCGAATTTCATGTGAATGTTAACTCAATAAGGTACACATGTTATGAAGACGTCATGGCCAGAATATGAAAGGATCAAGACTCAATCAACCAATGAAGTCAGATGTTGCTGGTAGGATTTCAGGATGCATACCTCTCAATGTTTTATCCATATCTTTTGATTGGATGACTAAAAACATGTCATTCAAGTTTTGGTGGATAGAAGACTTCATTATCTACAACTTTGGTGAAAGAATCATATCCTTATTCGTAGCGAAACATCCCCAAAATCCCAGGACAAAACCGGCGCCGGAATTTCACCAAACCAGCACCCTTTTGATTTAATTTGTTATTTTCCGGATTCGCCGAGAGCAAACCGGCACCGGTCCACCTTATATATATATAGAGGGGTTCTCACTAGAACCCTCCCCTATATATATAGAAAAGATCATGTGAGAAGTCCCCCTTAGGCTGAGAAGCTGCGAAGTCTAACTTATAAGCTAAAAACACGAACTTTTAACCAATAAATCATAACTTATAGACCCCCTCCAAAAAATTACGAAAATACCACCGCGTCAAAATAACTCCAGAAACCTGGAATTTTTTTTTGATTTTCGTGATTATTTTTTAGGAGGTCTATAAGTTATGATTTATTGGTTAAAAGTTCGTGTTTTTTGCTTATAAGTTAGACTTCGCAGCTTCTCAGCCTAAGGGCATTTCTCACCTGATTCGCTCCCTATATATATAGCATGGTTAAAAGTATATGGTTTTGAGTTTTCACGTTAAGAAAGGTTTTTATTTGATCCGAAACCTGTGTGTGAATAAAATTGATAAAAGTATAAACAAAGCAAATTCAAAGTTTACGATCCATACATGCACATTTGAAGATTTCAAATCATAACATTTTCTTATTATTCATTAGAGTAATCATATTAATAATAAGCATTTATAAGTCTCAAGCACTTATATTCTTCTCATAATCTCTCAATTAGATGTTATTGCATACATGTCATGGATACCAAATACTTAACTTCAAATTGGAACATCACATTGTACGTAAAAAGTTACCACTCTAACAAAAAAATAATTTTCTAAATCAGTATCCCAAAACACTGGCAATATTAAGTTAACCAGATTAGTCGGTCAGTGTAAATACATTCGGGTAAAGTACCATCTAACCCTCAAATTATGCCGGGACAACCTCAACATCCAACACAGCAGCACCAGTTGAACTAGTTCCAGCACACTGCAGTTTGAAGATGCAGGTATCTCCCACTCTGAGTTTGTTTCCTGCAATGAACTCCGGCCAACCCATAGTCATGACTGCATATTTGGTGTTCCCTCCATTGCAAACCCTAAGGCTGACTTCTTGCTCAACTATTGGGCCTCTCAGAGTTAATCTTGCGTTTTGATATAAATTATTTGTCATACAAAACACTGCAGGGACATGCTGAAATCCAGGGTTTAATCTATATCTATATCTTGACAAATGAATGAATTCTTAAGCCCCTCTTTGATTCGAGGGTTTTGAAGGGGAGAGAAGGAAAGTGAGTGATTTGTGTGTGTTCCGTTGAAGGAAATAGGGGGGAAGGGGAGGAAAGTCGAAAGCTTTCAAAATCCTCCACCATTCTCAACCCCCAAAATTAAATCGGGGTATTTCGGAGGAAACGTTTTGGTAAAGACAAACTATCCATCATTTTTCTCCTATGTGAATGGACAAATCGTAGTAATACAAAAAATTAAAAAAATTAAAATACAAAATAGATAAAAAAAAAATTAAAATTTGAAAATTTTTAAATTTGAAAAAAAAAACTAAAACACTAAAAAATTAAAAAAAAACTAAAAAATCAAAAATTAAAAAATCAAAAATTAAAATATTAGAAAATTAAAAAATTAAAACTATACTCCCTCCGGTTCTGAAAGATCTTTACACTTTTCATTTTTATCAGTACCACAATTATCTTTACACTTCTTTATTTGCCTTATTTGGCAAATAAATCTACACAAAACAGTGCCAAACAGTGCTAAACAGTGTCAAACAGTGCCAAACAGTGTACTCTACAGTAAAGTCAAATTTATTTCCTTAAAAACTGTGAAGTCAAAGTGTCAAGATCTTTTGGAACCGGAGGGAGTAAAAATTAAAAAAAATAAAAATTAAAAAAATAGTTATATAATGACTCATGACCTTAGGAGTAATATTCATAATAGTTAGATGTATCTAGCTTTTTAAATAAGCTATTAAATAAAGGTAAATTGGGAAAATAATTTCCTTAAACTTCCCTCCATTTCCTCCAACCAAACACAATTTTTTATCAACGTCCTTCCTTCATCTTCCCTTTGCTTCCTTTCTTGACTCTCTCCCTTCCCTCCTCTCCTTTGAACCAAACAAGGCCTTAGGTTTGTTTGGAGGGGAAGTATTTGAAGGGTTTAATCTATATCTTGACAGGTCAGATTTGATATTCAAAAGCTTACCATATAAGGAGATCGATGACGGAGATGGTATGACTTCATTCTTGATGAAAATTGCAGATTTTGTGTAGGAGACAAAGTTTTCACCTTACGTACATATTTCCCTACCAAACATCAGACATTATTACGACATTGAATAAATAAAGTACTATATTAAACAAATAACTCACTTTTCTCTCAAGATAGTGAATCCAACTAGTCACAAGTGCACACTAGTAATATTATGAATTAAAATCATGCATTGATTTAACAAAAACTAAAAAACTAATGGAACTATGCAGTATTTAAAGAAAAAAAGGAAATCCACGACTTACTTTTAACAACTACTTTTTTCACATTGCTCTCCCTTTTAAACTTTGCAAAACAGCTTTTAACTGAATTGCCAGCTCGAGTAGTATTTGGAGATGGTCCTTTCTCTCCATCTTGGGAACGGAAATTATCATTGTCCATCTCAACCAATATCTGTAGAAGTGGAGCGGGACGAGAATTGAGTTGAGAAGTGATAATGTCTTCATCTCTTTCCACCTTCACATCAGATAGCTCAAAGTGTTCTTTATTGATTGGGTTGAGTTTGGCAGAATCTATTTTCTGATCATCTTCCTCTCCTGACAGACAGAGGCCATTTTGTCAACCAAAGAAACATTCAAGCAAACTCTACCACCACTGTACTGAAATGCTACAAATTCCTCCACTTAATCCATAGTTCATCACATGTTCATTCACCTAGTTGGCTAATCAAGATTGATATTACCATTAAAGCAAATGACTGAGTTTTGTAGGGTTCCCTTCTACAAGAAATTTGGTACAACAGGTGGGAATTTTTAGATTGTTTGACAGTTTGAGGGTATGTTAGGATCTCAAGAAATGCTTCCAATGGAATAAGTTATGATTAGTTTTATCAGTTTTCAACCATATACTTAGAATTCTCTTAATCTACAAATAGAAATCATCATCATTATCATTATTATCAGTACCCCTGTACTTAATCTACAAATAGAAGTAAATAGCTAAAATGGGTATCTACAAACATCTAAGAAATTGATTCAGTTTTATTCCCTTCTTAAATTTCCTCCCACATTTTCTTTCCTTCTAATTTTCCTATAAGCTTTCCTTCCTATATCCTCCGAAGTGTTTTCTGGGGTCCAAACGGACACTAAAAGAAAGAGGGGCCTGAAGTCAACCTTCATGTTCTAATAGTTGTGCTTGGCAATGCCTATCTAAGAGGCTGAAAAGGGATGCAGCAAAACAAAGGTGTAAAGTCCACCCTGAGTGCGAAGCCTAAATAAGAGCCATTGCTCCAAAGAATTGCAGAATTTTTAACATAAGACTTAAAAGGTTTTTTCCTGCCCCGATGCAGTTATTGAAAAGAATTAGAGAATGATTACACTCTTGACTCATCCTAAGAAACTAAATTGAACTTACTCCCGTAGAGTCCCTTTCTGGCATCGGAGCTATCATTCATACGAAAATGATGTTGGGTAGGAGGAGGGGGAGGCACTTCTTCAGCTTCAGATTTCACCGATGGTGTGGCATTATTTGCCCCCGTATCAGCTGTTTGACAGTTGGTTAGAGCAGAGAAGTTTACCTAGAACAGATATACACACACACACACACACACACACAATAACATAGTCACTTACCTGTATCTTCTGTCTCAGGTTCATCAATGAAATCCTTCTCACAGCAGGTGTCACTATAAACTGTGACCTTAAAGTTAGAGCTACCCATGTGTTTAAGAGTGATAAAATCTCCGGCTACAAGGCCATGTTTGAGGACAAAAGCATGCCACCCGTTGGTGAACCACAATTCCCCATCTTGCGATTTCTGGATTGTGACCACAGAGGTTCCCTTTTTAGTTATTAGCATAGCTTTTTTTGCCTCCTTTTCGTCCAGCTTCAATGGCATTATAGGTGGAAGCCTCTGCACATTTAAATATTTTCCACAAAAAAGGCTCTCACTGTAGGAATACTTTGATAAAAAAAGGATGAAGAAGAGAGAAAATAGAGAGAATACCAGACAGACATCACATCCAGGAAACAACACCTTGAAGAATCTTGGCACCTTGACTTGGAAAATAGAGCTGCCCGTGTGTTTAAAAGTGATAAATTCTCCAGCTACAAGGCCATTTTTTAGGACAAAAGCATGCCACCCGTTGGTGAACCACAGCCTCCCATCTTGTAATTTCTGGATTGTGACCACAGAGATTCCTTCTTTTGTTATCAACTTAACTTGTTTTGCTTCCTTTTCAACCAGCTTCCTTGATATTATCGGTGGAAGCCTCTGCACCATTTATATATTTTCCACAAAAATAGGCTCTCACAGTAGGAATATTTCAATAAGAAGAGGGTTGAAGAAGAAGAGTAACAGAGAGAGAGAGAATACCAGTCTGGCATGAAATCCAGGAAGTAACACCTTGAAGAATCTGGGCACCTTGAGTTCCATTTTGAAAGAGAGAGCTTATACAGAGTCTATGGTCTCAAGAACAATTTAGTCTTGCATACACTCAAGTCCAACAAATAAGAGAATTTTCTTGTTTCCTCTTCTTGTTTTTCGTTTTAGAGAAACAAACACAGCACAGGAAAAAAAGATTTCAGACCTGAAAGTACAGCACATAATTACCAGGATATGGGCAGAGATACTACATTGTACCGAGTCCTATGAACAAATCTCTGCTTTTTTCTCTTTTTCCTCTTTTGCCAAAGTTCTGTTTTCTTGGGTTTGATTCCTTCTTAACTTAATATCTTTTGGAGGAAAAAGAGTTTACCCAGTGGACAATAACGGAAAGCATGCATTTATAGTGCTCAGTTTTTGCAGAAACCTTGGTAATGGGAAGATTATCTCTATTAATTACTCCTTATATGAAAGACTTAGACACATATAACAATACAGAGCAATATATACTACGTATGAAACTTTTATATGCATATATACATATATATGGGTATGTCTTGTCTGAGTGTGTATATATGTAATAGACACACAAAATTAGATTCTTCTATTATGGATAATGTATGTCTTTGCATAAGCTAATTTGAGCCATACTCTAAAGCATACAAGCCTAGTTTGATTATATTGGCTCATATACAAGAGAATAAACGATTAATAAGTTTTCTCGACCAGATGTATCCCTGCAAACTCTCCACTGCAACTGTCCTTAATTTCTAGGTACTAAGTTTTTTCTATAAATTATAGGGAGTATATTATACTCCGTTTAATATTGCTCCTACGCTTCCTTGTCGGTGAATTCTTCTTTGCATGCCTACATCACCATTTAAAACTATCCTAGCCTTTGATTTAGCATGTTCCATCTTTTATTTCAAACTCAAGCTTCATTAACAGGGGCCGAAGGGGTAGACTTCCCCAACATCCAGTTTTTTATTAGTTCCACAGTTCAACTCTCCTAAATCGTGGGTAATTAAGGGGAGAGCTTTTGAATGGTACCAGACCATTGCTCTGAAGCTCAATTTTTATGTTGTATAGATTTCATTTCATTCATACCAAAAAAATGAGTTGAAATTGGGGCACTGTACGACATCATACAACCAGACTTGTAAAAAGTAGTATTCGCACAGAATTAATTTAGAAAATAAATATTGAGAAAACTAAATAGACATTATACAAAATGCATTTTACCTAGGTTTCTGCTCGGACCAGCTCCTAGTAATGGCGTCATAGTTGACGTTCCACCTTTTCAAAGCTATTCTTTCATTTTGGTACGGATCACTTGTCAAATGATCTGCATCAAAATGTAAGGATGACATTGAAGATGATCTTTGGATCATTGGATGTAAGATAGCTTGTTCGTCGCCGCGGAAGACTCGAGTCTACAACTATGTTTCCCGGGAAGGACAAATCGAACAAACATGAGAAGTGAGTGAGGGGCAGGGGCTTGTTTCCGCTGGCTCGAAGGGACCGGAAGCAGCTGGATTATATCCATAGTTACCCATAAAGATTAACTTTTAGAGCTTTCTAACTTTGAACTTAGATTATTAATTTAGATTATTTGTGGAGGTGGATCGAGAAATCTGAATTGGATGGTCTAAAAAGTAATGACTCCCTCCGAATTATCTTATTTGCTTTTCCTCAAGTTTTAAGAAAGCCGTGAAAAAAGTTAAAGTTATGGTTGAGATTTGACTAGAAAAGGGTGAATTGATATGAGCCATCCATTATTGCTAAAAGAAGAAACAAGACAATTATTTTGGGATTGATCGAAAAGGAAAGCAGGACATTTATTTTGGGACGAAGGTAGTATTATTTTAGAATTAAACATTAATGGCATCGGCTAAATATGAAAAAGGGACGAATTTACATCAAGATAATTGATTTTTTGAAATTGATCCGAGTTTCATTTTACCATAACTCTAACGTAGAAACTCTCTTAACTCACCACCTATATGAGCCCGTTTGGTAGCACGAAAATCGGGTGATTTGCTTGATTCTGCTGAAATTTATGAAGTTCTGATTGAACTGGCTGCTTTAGCTGATTCTGCTAATTTAAGAAAAAAATAATTTTAAAATGTATTTTATTAATAAAATAAAGAAAAAATTATATGTAAAATAGCTAAAAATGGTCATCTGCAGTAACTTCAACCAATACAGCCAGAAAAGTAACTCTAACTTTACTTTTTCTGCTTATTACACAATTCAGCGTGCGAAAACAAAAATTACGTGTTTGGTGAAAAATTGGCCGATAAGCCTGATAAGCCGAAAAACAGTGTTGCCAAACGATCTCTTATTTTGTTACTCGTGATGGAGTATATGGACTCCAACCCACGGTCTGCTTACAATTGGGTCTGGACAACGGTTCACGTACACCAGCAGACAACATTTATATTATTGTATAGTTTGCATACTCATTGTATGTACTAGATTAGCCTTTTATGTTATTAGTCATTTTATGTAACCCGATCTGTCAGGCCCATATTAGAGGCACAGACCCGGATTTCTCTATATATACTCCTTTTTGGAGCTTGTAAACATAACTCATAATTCATTCACAATACACATACATCTCCTTCTCCTACATTCTTGTTCAATCTCTCATGTTTATACAGTATGGGTATCGATTATCCATCAATTGGTAAAATATTTTTTACTTGAAAGTATTATTACTAACACATCTTCATATTAAAAATAGGTTGCCTCATATGGAGTCTCAATTAGGAGGCTACATACAATCTAATTTAATTTTAATAGTAAAATAATATCCTTCATATTGTTGAGCTTGTTGGTGGAATATATTTATCATGTGGAATCAATCCACTAGCATATGCTTTAGATATAATATAAATTTTCCAATGAGTTTAATTGGACGTTAAAACATTAGAATGATAGTTAATTAAACTTTTGAAATATATTCACTATAACTAAAACATATAGTTATTTTATTTATTGTACAAAAAGCTCACCTTAATCGCTCACATTCAAACGTATATTTTGTCAATTTACGTGTAAATACAAGTGTTCGTTCGCTTCATTTTGGATTTATTGATGCAGTTTTTTTCGAACATGTAAATATGACACTAAGATAAGTTACTTTTCTCTCTGTTTTTGAATCATGTCATATAAGTAACGAGTAAATTATACTTTGTTTTTAAAATTTTAAATTTTAATCAACATTACGCATCAAGTTTATCTCATTTTAAGTTTAGATAGTGTTGATATTTCAGAACTCGTAATTTTTTATTTGTAATGAGTTACACGAGTCATAATTTATCAAATCGAACACATTTAAAAATCTACTCTCAAACTTTCGGGAAGTCCGCTGACCACCGGGAACCCACTTGGCTCGCCCATGACTATAGTAAAACTTACTTCCAACGTTCGAAAGAATTCTTCTAAAATCAGTCGTTTTACCGTGGTTAAAGACTTAAAGACTTATTAATATAACCATTCAACGAGGCCAAACAGCTACTAAGGAGATCAACAATTTAGCATAAAGGAAGGAACTATCATGTGTTGTGGGCTAGTGTCTGAAACTTCTGAATGTTACCAAACCTTTGCTCTAAATTCTAATGCTATTTTTATATATTGCATTTGCATACATTTCATTTCGGAACATATATAAAAGATTTTTCAAGTGGTGCTCTATATGTCGCAATTTCATTGCATATAAAGCTACCTATTTAAAATGAACATTGGTTTAGGTGATGTTTGTATGTTGTAGTAGAAAGTTCGTTTTAATTTATATACCAAGTTCCCACCATTTTTAACCAATTTGATGTGTATTAATGACATATTTGGAGTCTTGAATCTTATGTTTGTTGCTGCAGTTTAGTTTTTACTTTGTAAAAAGATATTTGCATTGTATTTGTACCAAACATATATGTACTACGTAGATATTAAGTAATATATAGTCATGTATTCTACAACACCAAATACGAAGGACTTAAGGCCTTGTTTGGTTCAAAGGAGGGGAGGGGAGGGGAGGGGAGGGGAGGGGAGAGTCAAGGAGGGAAGGGAAGGGAAGGAGAAGGAAGGATTTTGATAAAAAATTGTGTTTTGATGGAGGAAATAGGAGGAAATGTTTAATGAAAATATTTTCGCAATTTGCTTCTATTTGATAGCTTACTTGAAAAAATAGATACATATCTAACTGTTGTGAATATTACTCCTATGGTCATGAGTCATAATTTTATTTTATTTGATTTTTTACTTTTTAAATTTTATAATTTTTCATTTTTCAGTTTGGATTTTTTAATTTTTATTTTTATTTTTAAGTTTTTTTATTTTTAATTTTTAAAAATTTTAATTAATAATTTTTAAATTTTTTAATTTTTAAAATTTTTAATTGTTAAATTTTTTAATCTTTAAATTTTTAAATTTTTAAATTTTTTAATTTTTCAAAACTTTTTATTTTTTACCTTTTTATATTATAACATTTTGTTCATTCACGTAGGAGATGTATAGTTTGTGATTATTAACACGTTTCCTCCGAAATACCCCGATTTGAGAGGTTTAGAATAGGAGGAAGTGGAGGATTTTAAAAGCCTTCCGCTTTCCTCCCTTTCACCCCTATTTCCTTCAACCAAACACACACAAGCCCCCCACTTTTCTTCTCTCCCCTCCGAAACCCTCCAACCAAACAAGGCCTAAGAGTTCTCGTTAAATTTTAGAAAAAAATTTTAATTCGTAAGAGTGACTTTATTTTCATCATTTGCAATGCAGTCAAAGACTCACTATTTTTTTACTTGTGAATATGATGTAATAAAACAAAATGTGTCACTAAACTGATTGCGCTTCTTTGTTATGAAACAGCAGTCAATCTATGTGATTTTCACTATAGGTCATCCGGAAAGAGTCTTTCTGTATTTTAGTACATGGGTAAGACTTCATACATCCGACCCCCCCCCTTACTCCACCATATGTGGGAGCCTTTGCGGCACTGGGGTAATGATGAAGAAGATGGGTGTAACTTTACAACTTTTATACGGAGTACTTTGTTAAAGCGTCTATTTATCATCCAGTTTATTTGTTAATGTCGTGACAAAGAGGGGCCTCGAAAGAAAAAAGTATTAGGGTGAGTCCGTAAAAAGAATACTCCCTCCGTCCCTAAATTATGTAATAGAGAGTTGTGCAAAGGAATGTGTAAAGAGCACAATAAATTCTTTACCAAATAGGAAAATTTGAAATTTACTTTGGGATGACAAAAAATGAAATTTGGAAATTTAATCAAGGATGGAGGGATTATCTTCTATGACTTCTGTACATAATTCTTAAACACGCATGAATGTTTTACATAATTAGTAATATATAGCCTTTTTTTCTCAATCACTTTCACTCATGTCTCAATCTCTCTCAAATTCTGCTTAGTAGAAGACTCAACTTCTCTATACATGCCATGCATACCAAATAATTGGGACAGCATATTGTAAAATCAGCCTTGAAAAGTTAGCATTCTATAACACAAAAATAATTTCCTGAATCAGTATCCCAAAAAACTGGCAATATTAAGTGAACCAGATTAGTCAGTCTGTGTATATACATTCAGGTAAAGTACCATCTAACCCTAGAACTATGTCGGGACAACCTCAACATCCAACACAGCACCAGCTGAACTAGTTCCAGCACACTGCAGTTTGAAGATGCAGGTGTCTCCCACTCTAAGTTTGTTTCCTGCAATGAACTCCGGCCAACCCCTAGTGATGACTGCATACTTGGTGTTCCCTCCATTGCAAACCCTAAGGCTGACTTCTTGCTCAACTATTGGGCCTTTCAGAGTGAGTCTTGCGTTTTGATATAGATTATTTGCCACACAAAACACTGCAGGGACATGCTGAAATCCAGGTTTAAGAAATATGTGATTAGCATAAGCAAAAAAGCAGCAAAAGCTCCGTTGTTTGGGGGAAAATGGGACAGTTTATGTTTGAATTTGTAATGAACAGAAGAATTCTTAAGGGTTTGTTTGGAGGGGAAATATTTGAATGGTTTAATCTATATCTTGACAAGCCAAATGTTCCTAAACATGCATTAGATGTTATATGACTGCATATTATGTTAAAAACTAATTAACTTTATTAAATCTCACAGGTACATCAAGAATAAAGACTAAAAGTCCCCCCCCCCCTAACCCTTCAAAAAGTGTTCAGAGTTGAGATTCAAAAGCTTACCATATAAGGAGATCGACGACGAAGATGGTATGACTTCATTATTGATGAAAATTGCAGATTTTGTTCACGAGAAGATGTGTTCACTTTAGGTGCCCTTTTCCCTACCAAACATTTGAACTTCATTACAACAACGAATAAACTAAAAACTATATGAAAAAGAATTAAAGCTCACATTTTCTCTCAAGGTAGAGAATCAAATTAGTCTTGGGTGCAACACAGATATTATTATGAAGTAAAACCATGCATTAATTGTACAAATAAAGTTGAAAATTTTAGTGGCATTATTCAGTATTTACAAAAAAAGAATAGCCACAACTTACTTTTAACGTCCACTTTTTTCGCACTATCCTCCCTTTTCCGCTTTGTAGAACCGCTTTTTATGTCTTTATTCTGAGGTTTAATTTTGGAAATTGGTTTGACATCATCAACTTGAAAAGGGATAAGTTCCCTGTTAACTGAATTACCAGATGGGGTAGTGTTTGGAGGCGGTCCTTTCTCTCCATCATAGGAAGTCAAATCATCATTGTCCATCTCAGCCAATATTTCCAAAAGCGGAGCAAGACGAGAATTGAGTTGAGAAGTGATAATGTCTTCATCCCTTTCCACCTTCACAGCAGAAAGCTCAAAGCGCTCTTTATTAATTGGGTTGGGTTTAGTAGAATCTAGCTTTTGATCATCTTCCTCTCCTGGATTAACAGAATCCATCTTTTTCTCATTGCCATTTTTGTCTAGCAATGAAACATTAAAGCCAATTCCACCTATGTATTCAAATACTGCAAAATCTTCCACTCTAAATCCATGGTTCATGACAAATGCATCCCACCCCTTCCCAAAACAAAGGTTTCCTTGGTCACCATTTTCTATCTCCACATCCCATGAACCCTTTGCAGTAACTAAAGTTGCTTTTGATGACTTCTCTCCATTAAGTTTTTCACAAACCAAGGGCGGCAGAGTCTGCTTTTCACAATAAGAAGAAAAACTGTTACTTAATTTATACATAATTACCCCGTGTTTGTTGAGTTGTTTTGGAAGGAAGACTTCTAAGGCTAAATCTACCAACTTCTTTTGTTCTGTGGCACAAATTTTGGGGTCTTATTCTAATAAATAAATTAATGGAATAGCAAAACCAATGCTCCAAACAAAAAAGTGCAGGAATTAGGAAAGATCCCATCTTTGTCTGGATGGAAGTCATGGAACCATTCTTACTCTAATTCTGAATTTAAAATCTATCTGTTTATGATTAAGACGCAATGAAAAGAATGAAATATTGGCAAAGTCAGGGGGCAAAAGAGGGGAAAACAAAGATTTTGAAGCAGATCAAGAATCCTAAAAATTTGATTTGAATAAAAGATTAATCACGTACATGCAATTGATTTGAGACAAGGAACATACCAGTTTATTCTGAAAACCGGGAAACATGACCTTTAAGAACCGCCAACCGAACGGTAGCATCCCTTCCGCACCGCTTTCCATCGCCGGCGGAAGAAACCCTTGTTAAGGAAGTGTTCCGACTATTGCAGATCTTAACGGCAGCTGATCTGTTGATGCCTCCAAAAGATGATCTAATGGAATAGTTTCTACTTCGGTTAAGATCGGACCCTATTGTATATTTGTAGTGTTACGCCAGCAATTAGCGATTTATACGAACCGTACGTTGCAGTTGGAAAGTGGAAACAAATGAATAGAATTTCTAATCAGTTTAGGACAGTTACTATACCTCGTACAACCCGCACTATATTTTATTCATGTTTGTTCTATACTCTGGGCAACCCGGAAGCTCATTAAGAGTTTTGAATTTGGGCTTATATAAATCCCACGTCTATCTAAAAGCTCATATATTGGTTAGTCTACAAGTGCCCATGGCCCATCATCCGACCAAAACTTTCTCGCTAAAACCTTTTCTAAAATTGGACTAGAAAGTGTTTGGGTCAAAGGTCAAGTCGGACATTGTAGATCAACTCAACCCTACACCACCCTGTTCAACACTAAAAGGCCATTTGGTAACACTGTTTTTCGACTTATTAGGCTTATAGTCATCTTTTTCACCAAACACATAAATTTTGCTTTCGCACGCTGAATTGTGTAATAAACAGAAAAAGTAAGGTTGAAGTTACTTTTCTGGCTGTATTGGTTGAAGTTACTGTAGATGACTATTTTAGCTATTTTTACATATATTTTTTCTTTATTTTATTAATAAAATATATTTTAAAATTGTTTTTTCTTAAATCAGCAGAATCAGCTAATGCAGCCACTTCAGTCAGAACTTCATAAATTTCAGCATAATCAGCCAAAACAGCCGATTTTCGTGCTACCAAACAGGCTCTAAGTTTATAATAAGGTATATATGGATTATTACTTTCTGAAAACTATTAATTTCGTTCTTATATTACCACGAAAAAGTTCAAATAAGGTATATTTGGAATATTTTATCCGGATAATATATTGTTATTGAAATATTCCAAATATAAGTGCAACCTATATTTTTTAAGAATTTGTAATCAATGTTATATTTATTTTTTTGTTCCTCTAATTTCAAATACATTCATGATTTTGTAATTAATGTTATATTTATTTTTTTTGTTCCTCTAATTTCAAATATTGTGTTTTGACCGGGTTTACCGGTCTTGACCGCTTTGACCCATCGGGGTCCGGGTTAACCCTTGACCCGGTAATTTTTCCGGGTCACCTCCCGGTCCGGTTTTTACAACATAACATAGCTCATGCCACGACCGGCCCTAGTTGCTAGCTAGAATGCAAAAATCGGATAGGAACACGGGGCATGTACGTAGGTAAATTACACCGTACAACCGGTTGTACCTATAGCATGGTACAGTCGGGTTTTTTTGTAATGAACTGCAACTTGATGCTTGTTGCTTAATCTGATCTTCGTCCTTCGCGCTGGTTTCGTCTCTTCTCCTATGTTTATTTCGTTCGTCTCTTTCTTCTTTACCGCGTTCAATATCTCCAGCTAAAGATTTCGTTTGGTCATCAATGCGAGTAATATTTCTTCCGTCGGTCATTGTTGAACTGTTATTTTCTACTTCCTCCAGTCCTCTACTCAATTTCTCCAGCTGAATATTGCTCGGTTTTCTTTTAATAAATTATTCTTCTTTGTTGTTTCCATCTTTCTTCCTGTACATTCTTCCTCATCTTTATTATTTACTTCCGTTTGTTCTTGCGCAGGTTTAATTTTTTGCAATTGTTTTTGACCACTGAAGGTGTAAGTAAGTAATTGTTCTTAGGTTATTTTCTTCTCTCGTTGGAACAAAGTCATTTTTTTCATTCAGTTCAATTGTTTTATTTCTTAGCTTTTTTTATCCAAGAATGGATGCTATGTCTAGTTGTGGAGGTAATTTTTCAAATTACACGTTCATTATATTTGATTTCTTTTGATGGGTATTATTTTACTTAGTAATGATCATGGGAGAGCTTCGGGAAATCTGCCCCAGCTCTTTTGCGCAAACGAGTTCTTCGATTTCTTGGTGTGTTTGATTTCTAACTTGTCTGGTAGATGTTGTTTGAGTTGGTTTTAGCTCCTAAAAACATCTCTGACCTCGGATTTGGTTATAGAATGAGATATTAGGGCCCAACAACCAGAAAATGGGAGTTTCAGTTCGCTGCGATTACGCTGAAATTGTTACTCTGTTTGTGGTTGTTATCGGGTTACTTACTTGTCTCTGGGTCGGGAATAGCTTCTTATCCATTTTCGCGCTCTCTCTGACCTTGGATTTGGACTTAGACTGCGATTTTAAGCCCCAACAATCAGAAACGGGAAGATGAGGTCGCTGCTAGTCCGCTGAACTGGTTTCTCTGCTCGTGGCTTAATCGGTGGTACTTACTTGTTTCTGGGTCGGGACTTGTTTCTAATCCATTTCCTAGCTTCGATATGGTGTTACAGGGATGAACAACGGCTGAAACGAATAGGTTGAACTCGTTACTGTTCATTCCCGATACTTGTTGATTCAGGCTCCGCAGCAAGGATTACCAGGCCCGGATTTGAGAACGCTGGATGATCCAGGAGTCTTCTAAGTCGGATGAGGACGCCGAGGGCATAGTGAAACACATTGAGAGAATAGTGATGGAGGAGAACGACCTCCAACAATATCAGGTGGTCATCAAATGTGAGATGATAAAAGGTAAGACGCTCAAGTTGGTTGTCAAACTGTTTAGGTCCGTGCATACTAGTGTGATTAGAGTGGATACTTCTCTTTGACTGACGGATGATTTGGACAACAAGGACCTCACATTCACCGTCAAATGTTTTGAGGGTCTACCGGGAGTTACTAAGAAGAAAGGGGAGGTTTGCTTCGACTCAAAGTTCACTACCCCTTTCCGTAAGTTCTTTGGATGTTAGATTAGGGATACCTAATTTTCAGTTGAGGTAGTATGCAAACTTGTTTTGTTCTTAATAGTGTTTGGGTTCAATACTTAGACGTTTGAGCATGTGATTCTGATTTTGTGGTATCCCATATACCGGGATATGCACTTTTGATTGTACACATTGTCTTGTTATTTTCTTTGGGTGTTAACATATATTTACATTTCATCCAAAAAAAACTTAATAATGATCATCTGTTTTTTCGTTTTGAATTGTTATCCCCTGTCTAGATGATATGTCTTGCAGTGACAAATTAATAGAGGATATTGAGGCCAGAGACGAACTTTTTGAAGTTGATTGCAGTAATATTTTCTCTCCCTCCAAATCACATATTGTTGTTGTTTTCTGTGTGTTATTTACTTTGAACTATTTGATATTTATTTCTGTATTTTTTATTGATTTAGAATACTTGGAATCTGGTGATACCTTAAGGCGGTGGGAAATGCGTCCATATTCTTTAATTTGTTTATGGAGATTTACTATTTTTTATTTATTTTTTATTTTTTAAACAAAAATGATTTTTTATTCTATAAAAATTTTAATAATTTTTTATTATTGTTCTATGAGTTTGTTAAATTTTTTGGATTTATTATGAATTAAATATTTAATTATGACTTTTGAGTTTTGACTACCTTTTAATCATATTTAAAGGAGGGGTAAGAATGGACTGAAAAAATAGATATGTTTCCAATAGGAGTAATATGGTCATATTTTTGAATAAAAACATATCAAGTCTTATCACTAGTACAAAAAGACTTTTCGCATCGGTCAAAAAAGGCGCTTCACATCGGTCAAACAGCAGACGTGGTTCCAGCCCATGTGAAAAGTAGAGACTTTTCACATCGGTCAACGAACCGATGTGAAAATTCTTTCTAAGCTACATCGGTCGTTCAGTGCCCGATGTAGAAAAGCTTCAATTTTTCCCGGGGCATAGGTTTTTCACATCGGTTATAACCCATGTAGAAAAGATTTCACATCGTTCATTTTATCAACCGATGTGAAAAGCAGCATTTTTTCCGGAACATATCTGTTTCACATCGGTTATAACCCATGTAGAAAAGCAATCACATCGGTTATTTTACAACTGATGTGAAAAGCTTCAATTTTTTCGGTATTTTTCACGGAAAAAAATTGCAATATGACCCTTGTTTATACTATAATCACATCATTAACAGTATCATCAATTATTATAGCACAATTTTTCACATGTTCACTTGATCCATCTAAAACAATAACACAAGCTCACACCCGTACTTTCATTAATTACATAATAATATAGTCAAGATCACATGAAAGAGACAACACACTACCAAAACTAGCAAAACACCATAAAAACATTCCATTATCTATTCAAATATTTTACAAGTAGGTAAAGTATCAATGAGTTACAAATTAATCATGATCTTTGAACATAAGTTTATACTCCCTCCGTCCCTTAAAACTTTGCCAAGTTTGAGCGACACGGAGATTAATAAAGTAAAAACTGTGTGGTTGAGGTTTGTGCAGAGGAGAGAGAATTAACTGGAATCACAAATTCCTTACTTAAATGGGAAAATGACAAAGTTAGTGGGACATCCAAAAAAGGAAATTTGGCAAAATTATAAGGGACGGAGGTAGTAATACTTTTACAGATAACAAGACTAAACTTTCTAATAATACTGAATGTCAACGTGCAGCAACTTGTAAAATAACAAAACGTTCATCTCGTGTCGTTGAAGGAATTCACTATACATATCCAGAAAAATGATGCTCAATGTCTTTTGGAGTGAACGGTTCCAGATTGAAGAATCACTACAAAGTCAAAATAAAATCCTACTAGTGCATAACGAAAACACGAAGTTCAATAATATCTTACTGCTTATAACTAAAAAAAGTTGCTTTGAGTTATATAAGTAGAAGTTGAAATTTATTTTAACACTTTCAACTCTTCCAGAACTCAAACTTGTCTTTTATGTCAGAGTGGCAACATTTAATCCACTGTGCTAGGTTGCCAGTATAACTAGGCTGCCTTAAAATAAGTACTAATGTCATACCAGAGCTCTATGAAATATAATTCAAGAATATACAATCAGACCTGTATTAATTATGAAAACAAATGAAATTAAGAGTGAAGCAATGTTATAATTGAAATTGAATCACTAATCAAGGGAATATGGAAAAACTATAAAAATAAGAATCACATGAAAAGGAAGACACCTATGATTTGGAGTGAAACTCCACACCAAGATACAAAAGAACTCCACGAAAAACATGTTAGCTATCTTTATGTCTTCTTGAGCTCAATCTCATTTGAACTCAGTTTAATACCTTTATACCTCCATACTAACCTGCAGAAAGATCCCAAAACTAATTAAAAGATCATATA